TGAATGTTAGATCATAAATATCTCGTCTCAAGTAAGTCAAGTGACAGCAGATATGGAAATTCACTCTTTATTTGATGCCCCGAGTTAAGCTATGGCGGAACAATAAACCTTATTGGTAGGTCTAGTCACTAAGCTGTTATTAAATTGTCTAAGTTAATTTAGGTAAAATTAAACATGAATATTATAATTACCATTGGCTACAAAATGTATCGTATAATACGATACATTTTATAGGTGTTTGTGGAAGCCTTCAGTTCTTAACAAGATAATATGACAGTGTATTACCGAGTGAATAAAGTAAACATTTAACAAACCAATTATGGAAATTCGTGCTTCATAAAATTATAATATACCAAGAATATTGATGAAATGTCGGTTCGGCTTATATCATTACCTAGAAATTGTATAAAAAATACTTAAAGGAGATTCTAGCAAGTTCAAAAGTACCGCTCTAGGAGTTATTATATTATTGCGCAAAACCTGTGTATATTAGGCTACTTATTAGGTACGTAGAACATGGATTTACCTTCGTTTATTCTATTTATGTGTTAATTTGTTTACCTACTTTTAATAGTTCAATTAATACAAATAATATATAATCAATACAATATTTGGCTATGGCTGTATGAATATTGGCAACGACAATTCGTAATTACGTGCATGACGCATCGCTTGAGGCCTCATTAAAGGCGGGAAGACCTAATAAGAATTCCAATAATTACGCCTATGTTTACAAAATTAATGGTATTTCCCAGCTGCACATAACTACAAAGTATTATAAAGTAAATTTCTTTGTCTTAAAGCAAAATAATAATCCAATGCAACTCTCAAGGTTATCATTATAATCATATGAGATATGAATGAATTAGACATGATAAGAGATACATTATCTGCAATGTTGGGACCAAACACGTGACTGCGTTACGTTAATACAATTAGGTATATCAATAAAATGATGAGGTTTGAAAACAAATCAACAAACATCTAATTTTCACTCGAATACATTTTATTAAAAAGTATTTAATTGATAAATATAAAGAGATTAACGCTGATTATGACAGTCTAGATTTAATATATGGATATTGAAAAGTGAAGAGAAAATCACGAACTTAGGAATACTTGAAGTTTCTATATAGAAGCGAATGAATCGCTTTCATTTTTAAAAAAAATAATCGATCGATCTAAATGCTGATCTTAAAAAAAGGGTATTAATGTATATAACTTCACAAATAATAACTGCATTTATTAATAAAAAAAGTTGGCTAATTTAGCGGGACACAATAATTAAGTTAAATCAAGCCACGGAATCGCAACAAATGAACCATCATGCTGTATTACGTTAATAGTCAAATCTAGGTTATGAGAACTTGTTTATGATTATTTCTAAAGCGTTGTAACCGACAACCAAAATTATAGGCATCTCCAACCATTTTGGTCATAACTTTCACTTTGTTATGATTAAAACAACATTTTGCTATTCATATTCGTAACTTAAGTCACTTTAAAACAGTTACTGCTACTAGTTTTGATGATTTAAGAGCGAGGAGTGGATAGAAGGATAGATGGATTAAATTACCTATTATAAGATTTTCCGTACTGTATATTTCAGAAAAAAATAATATTCGGTTATTGGAAATGTCGTCTTAGAGATAAAGCTGATTAGTGTTCCAATTTTAATATGACTTTACTAGGCCTAGCATTTTCATTTGTTTTGGAGCACAAGGGCTCCATAGTTCTGTGCAAGGGGATCTGACTTCAAAACTAGTGCAGAATTCTCTATATGTTTATCAGAGGGGAAGCAAGTACCATAGGGCGAAGATCTTGTATTGGCACTACCCATCCCAAATATCCTAAAATTTATCAGAAAGTTACTGAAGACACCAAGAAAAAGTAGATAGTAGTGACACTGCTGTATATGCTTCTTTAAAACCTATTAATACTATGTACTCCTGAAGTTTCCAAAATGTTAAATGTAACAAAGATCTAATTTAATTTCAATTTCCTGTTTAAATAAGATATCACTATAAGCAGTATTATTATCATAAAAACATTGATAATATCAAATTTACCGCAGTGTTTCTATCTACATCCTTTCTTTTTTCTATTATGTAATGTTTACGATTGAACTATATTAAATTACTAACTTACTAACTTGATATATCTCACAACAACCCTCTGATCTCAAATAATGCAAAGTACTACTAAGTAAGTACCTAGTAAGTAGGGATGGAATAAGATAACGATCACATCATCATCATATCAACAGCTTTTAATAGTCCACTGCTGGACATAGGCCTCTCCTTACAAATGAGGTTTTGGCCTACTATACCACGCTGGCCAGACGAGAGTTTTCCTTCTCTATGCAGTGCTCCCTTAGTCGCCTCTTACGACACCCACAGGATGAATAGGGCTGGTGACACTCCGTATTCTTAATCCGTCACCACACACCAAACGGATAAGATAACAATCCTGTGATGAATCATACGATTTTCAAAACATTTATTCACTTATATTATTATTATGCTAGCACTAGACTCGACAAAAGTCTAAATCTAAAAAAAAAGTTAATAATCTTTGAATTAAATAAGTTTGATTCATTTTAATGGCATTTATCTTTGTCTATGACAGGTGAATGTGACTAAAATCAAACATTTCATCATTTGAATATGATTTAAAAGTAGCAATAATTTTCATGTCTAATAGTAAGTAGTCAAATAGTAGTGACAACATTTATAGATAAAATACACCCACACAGGCACAGACCTCACAGAACAAAATGATGGTACTCATCACACAAATATTTGTTCTGGGTGGTAAATACACCCACAAATCTCTAGCTCAGCAGTCTGGATCAAACTAATAGATAAACCATTCAATTAAAAAGAAGGCCTTGCTGATATTATTTGACTGCCTTGGTGGTGCATCAGTGGCAGTGATAGCATATGCAACTGCTGTGCTGAGGTATCCTGTTTGATTCACGGGTCAGACCAAATGTTTGTATGATCTGCACATATTTGTTTCAGAGTTTGGGTGTGTAATATGTATTTATTTACAAAAAAAAGGATATAAGTAATCTATCCATCAGTCTAGCTTTCATAGTACAAGCTCTGCTTAGTTGGAAACTAGATAGCGTTGTGTCAAAGTCTGAATATATTATTCTTATTACTTCAATGATATTTGTAAATATTGCCTATATTTACAAATATAAATAAAAATATTGTGATAAAAATAATTCTTTCTAAGGCCCAGCAATTTAACCTGGTAATGTTAATTAAATATTTGTATTTACCTGCTTGCTATCATCTTTAGCGATAAGGAAAAGATTCTAGAGTAATGATATAAAAACATCAGTGTTGTAAACAATAGTATTAGGTTTGTAGCAACACAATGTGCAAATTAACCTCTGATCACACTAAGACTAAAACACTAAAAACTAGAGCCTCCCACAACTAAGACAAAGCTGGATAAACAGAGATACATGATATTGACAAAATTAAATGTTAGAAAAGAACACAACCATATATTTTACAATCATTTGGCTTTTGTAACAACTACATAGAACCTCAAGTTTTAATTAAAGTTATAAAAAGAGTGGAGCATTTGAGCTTCATATTTAATCACACAATAATTATAATTGCTGTATTGTCTAACTACTTAAACCAGTTAGATGACTCATAGATGAGATTCACAGCTAGAAGGATGTACTCAACACAGATAATGTTGAGTTTTATATGTATTATCTGAAGAAAAATAAATTGCAAATTTGATGATTGACATTAATATTTAAGTAAATGAAAAAAAAAATGATATTTAGGAGAATTCTACTAGTATATATATTTGCATAATTTATTATTGAAATAAAATTATTAAGATATAGGCCATACTTGGCAAATTAATTAATTATCACTTTATGATATCAACTGCAACAATGTGTAGGTTTTTCCAATTAGTATATGTATATTCTAACTAGAATTGAATAGGAATCCAATATATCAATGTGTATGGGTCTAAAGAAGATATAAAAGTCATAGAAGTCTCTAAAGAAGGTGTAAAAACATAGTACTTTATATACTCTCTAAAAATATCTAACAATGTGATGCTAGATTGTACTCAAATGAATTAAATGTATTGTTTACACTAGTTTATATTGTTTACCATAAGATATAAGGCAGTGGAAAAGTATATTTACATCATAATTTATTTTATTCACACTTCATTGGTATAAATAATATAAAGGGGAATGCATCAACATGCACTATTGTAGTATTATTGCTTTTAACAATAGATTTTCTTAATGCAATAAAAATGCATTCACTTATGTGAGAACCCATGATACAGTCTTGCCTAGTGTGGGGACAGCGGTATAATATTTAGCCGATAAGATCTGCTACACTAATTTTATGTTTTGTATAACTATTTTATACTTTCTGTGTGAGTAAAACAGTGAATATAAACATAGTATAAACTGCTGGGAAATGCTAATGACTACATAAATATGACTGTTAAAAAAATATACTGACAAAATTCATTACTTGTGATAAAGTCCTATAAATTATCATTAAGTAAACCATGAAAATATGTACAACCCACACATATAAGAATTTAAAAGAGGCACATAGATCCATTATTATTTTTAATTAAAATGATTTTGTGTATATTTTTGATATGTTATAAATAGTACATATTCTGTTACATTCTTTAATCATTTTAAAGGCTTGTGTAAACTGTGATAATATCCAACTGTTTAGTCTGGTAGATATTTAATGTTGTCATGACATTTATATAAGTATATGTTGTAACAACACAAAACTTGATATTACAAATGATAACACATACATTAATCTGAATTCTTATGTTTTTCAGTAAGTAGTTAAAGATAAGATTCAGAGAAAACATTTATTTTAAGTATGAATTAGAAAATTCCCAATTCCCTTCAAGCTCAAAGTTGTAACAAATTTTAATAAGAATTTCAATGAGTAGTGTTGAAGAATAAGACATACCTTGAAGGAGCTGTGAACTAGTGTTTCATCAAGATCAATGACCATACACTTTTTATGCATATCCTGATGTCTCACTGGCGGCAACAATGGTCGGGGTTGATGCTCCGACATGACCAGGAGCGGGGGCGAAGCCCTCCCATCGATGCTGTTCGCGCCATTGCTACCGGGTGGGCCTTTACCGCGCCCTCCACGCCAACAACATAATAGGGAGCGTAGGAAACCGCCGCTTCCGCTGGACTTTTTATTGCCCAACGGAGTAGACCCAGACACTGGCGTACCATCACCTTCATTATGTTGGGCGCCAGGGGGTGACCCTAAAACAACCATTGCACATCAGAACACTTTAAACACAACAGCACACCCGCGGAAGCCCTTATTGATATCCCAAGCGGGACCAGGAAAGAGAAGTTCTCAAGGTTGTCGTTAATGTTATCGCGTCCACACTAACCAATTGTTTACCTCCAAGCACACGCACACAGGACGAAACCAATAGGTACTAATCAGTCACTAATCCGTTAATTTAACATAGGTCACGAATAGCATATATTTACGAGTTGTAAGGAGGTAACACTATACGCTCTAATTTGATACCAGTAGGTAACAGGTGTAATTCGGTTGGGATTTACCTCTGTCGGATCCATAATTGTTTAATTGCTCGTCATCCCGTGACACCTGAGTTATAATGGACGATGCGTCCATTTAAACATTTGTTTTCGGCCCTAAGACAAATGGCAACGGAGTTTATGTAAAATTTTAACACCATAAAACTATTTTTTATCTCCCTTCTATCTTACAAAATGGCAGGCTCTTGGCAAATACCAACTTCAAATGTGACCAACACATAAAACTTATATAGTCGCACTACTCTCTACTCTTTCTATCACGACTTTTTGTAACCAAGGAAGAACGGAATGACAATACTGCATGCATTGTCCATTTCGTATTTCGTAAAGTTGCTACTTCTGTCAACAGACAAAAATAGTATAGGGAACGTTCAGAAAAACTGAAACTGCTAATTTAAAATAACAACAACAATTTGATACAACTTTTTATTGTAATAGAATTTAGTATCGAAAGCAAACGATTTGTTGTTAGTTTTTATATCAATTACTGCACGTCAGTTCAGTTTATTTAGTTTAAGTCCTTTTTCCAATCCAATTAAGGTAACGAAAAACAGAGTATAAAAAAAATTATACTCTGTAATTCATTACCGTTCCCTAAGTGCTGCAACTTTTTCTTTAAGCATCGGATGAAATCGATTAAACTAACCAACTATGATAATTTCGTTATTTAAATCGATGTTATAAACTATATATTTCCAATTAGTCGCTCTAAAGACATTTTCACGTTCAATGGTTTTCTTTTGTCACCCTAAGTTACTTAGAAGTAAATAAATATAAAACAATGAGGACATGGATTAAATTCTTCCCGGCTCATGTTAATTACGATAATCATATATCTTTTGGTTCTTAATTTACTTCGATGACCATTAACAAAAGTTATACATTGGAAAGCACGCCTTAGACTGGGCACAATATTAAAATTTATTTATTTATTGTGATGTTGCACACATTTAAAGAATGTCATCTTGCAATCACTTCAAAATCTCTTAGAAGAGTCTGTAGAAGTTTCTGATATTCTTAAAAAGAACTTGAACCATAAACCAGACCGTGCGGACAAAAACACACCCTACTGGATTTAAAGCTGTAGGCAGAAAATTACTCAACATAAATTAAGATAATTTAGATAAGGGATTTAAAATTTTAGGTTTTTTTTTGTAATAACATCAACAAAATAAACCTGGTCTAGATCATAATGATAAAACTGAGTGAGGGGTCAACAGATCCCCGGTCGATTTGAAGATCCTTTCGCTTTTTAGTATACGTTTGCTATAGTGTCGAAAAAAAATCTTGTTACACATTTTTCGGTCTTGCTCTTTTCTCTTTCATCTGTTTAGAGCGTGTAAAGCGTTATAAGGAATTATATAAAAAGTTTATGACTGACCATAGCGATTCATTTAAGATTTTTTATTTATCAAATTTTATTCTTGATAGATTATTGTTATGTTACTTATTACCAGAAGTACCTTAATTGCAAGTTAAAAATAAAAACTTTAATTACACTTAGTCAACTCGATCCCAATCAAAACCAAAAATTGAAAGATTAAAAATTTTCGTGTGCCCCTCACTAGTTTCTTGAACTAAGAAGAAGGGAAAAATGCTGATTGCTGTGTCGACTTGTCAAAGAGTGTGATATTGTTTAATTATCTTGAAAATAAAACTTTTATGCTGTGCACACCAATGTGAATACTTAGTTTCTATTGTGTTGTTTCTTTCGCGTATTGTTTATTATTAAAATGGCGCACAGAGATCCCGGCCCTATACCTAATAGGTGGCTGAGATGTCCACGCAAGGCGAATGGTCTGGTAGCAGATAAGTTTTTAGCTTTCAAGACACCTTTGGGACCTCAATTCAATGAACAAGTACCTGAAGAAAACCGTTTCACACCAGCCATGTTAATGGCCTACACAAAGAGCATGAAAGTAAGTGATATTTTTGTAATCAGCTGTTTTATATTAATCATAAGCAAATATTTTGATGATTAGCATTGAATTAGATTAGCATGCAACAATCTATAACTTAAAAAAAAGTAAAAAAAAGCTTATGAATAATTGTTAGTTACACAAGCCAAGCTTTCACATTTATAATTCTATTTATAGTTTATGAATTGTTGTCATGTTAATCACAAGAAGTTTTAGATGTATTCTAAAAATGTAAACATAATGCTCTGCTAGAAATGTAGTGAAATCTGGGCAGGAATCCAAAGTTGACTTTGGTTGATTATTTGAATGATTGTCATACAACAAATCATCACATTATTGTATATTTTCTTGTATCTTATTGTACAAACTATACTAATATTATGAAGAGGTAAAGTTTGTGAGTTTGTATGTTCGGGTAATCTCAGGAACGAGTGGTTTCGAATTGAAAAATTATTTTAGTGTTGGATAGCTCTTTTATCAAGGAAGGATATATTCTATATTACATCATGCTACAACCAATATTAGCTGTAGCTGCTCAGCAGTATCAATAATAAATGTTGCGATAATGGGGATGTCATAGTCGTAGAATGGTATCAGATCTGACATTTATTAAACTTTTTCGGGCAGCCATTTCAAATAATTATGTTAGTTTTTTTGACATAACTTTTTTAATTCTAAATTTGTAATTATGAAAATTAGCATACAAGGGAAAAATAGGGTTTGGTTTAAAATGCAATAAAAATTACAACTAATAATTACATGTTTCTAGAAAAATTACATGCTTCATTTTGCTTTGAGCATCTATCAAACAAACAATTTAAAATATAAATATTTTTTTCTTGAATGTAGGAATAATATTAAGACAATGTAGTATCCAAATATGGTATAAACATAATTTTGTATATTTTCAAAACCGACATTACTCTATGATCATTATAATTTATTCCTTTTGAGAAAAGGAGACAAAGTTGCACTGGCCAGATCTTAGATGGTACCCAGCTGTCTGTCTGTATCAATGTATCCTTCTATACTGGTGTAATTTTAGATCTGGTATTCCTTATGGCCTTTCTGGAACACCCTGAGATTGACTGCCATTAAGTCTACCATTGTTAACACATTGCCTGCCTGTTGGTTGGGGGTCTTAGTGATCCTGACTGCCAAGCCAAAGGCTGTGGGTTTGATTCCCACCCAGGACAAATAATTATGTAATGAGCACCATCATTTGTTCTATGTCTTAATTTAATTTAACTAACTAACTATGAAATGTATGTATTTAGAAACTGTATAAGTGTATTTATCAGCAGTCTGGTTACCATAGTACAGTGTGTGAAATGTGTCAGGTTATTATTATTGTTCATTGTTAAGTATGGGTTAAAAAAAAGGTAAATAAATAGAATCAGTTAGGTATCCTATATGTAAAAATATGATTGAGGATCAGTGGATCAGGTCAAATATAAAGAACAACCAATCTTGATCATCTTTCATAACCTCTTATAGTATCTTCAACTCTAGTTTGCATATTTTGAAAAGTCCAAGATAGAAAGAAAGCAGTTTTAGATCATGCGTTTTAAGAATAGACAAGGATTTTCTTAATGGTTAATGTTTTAGCCTGATATTTTCATTTCTATAGAAGATTATTATACAATTTATTTTTTTGATTTCAAACATTGTTGTGGTGTTACTAAATAAATAAATATTGCAGACAACTGACACACAATGCCATCTAGATTCAAACTAAGCTGAACTTGTACTATGAAAGTTAGATTGACTGATAGAATACTTAAATACTTTTTTTTGTAAATACATACATAGAAAACACCCAAACTCCAAAACAAATATTTGCAGATAATACAAACTTTTGGTCCGAACCAGGAATGGAACCCGAGACCTTAGCAGAGCAGTCACATACAAGGACATTTTATATTGCCATGGGAGAGTAATCCTTCTGCACATAAAAATATAAGCCGGTTTGACCAAAGTAGAACCACTAGCTCACAAAAAGCTCTTTGTTAAGCAATTTCTTTGATTTTCATTGAGTGATTGAGATTACCCGAAATCCTCTATTCCTGGGGAGGCACCTAAAACCTCTGTGATGCAATTCTTGAGTTGCAGTGTAGCCTCATAAAAAAATGACCATTTTTAAATAGAAAAAGAGGTTTAATAATTCATTTTTATGAGTCTGTAACATATTACATTGCTAAGTTTAATACATTGCTTCAACATTTACAGATAAAACTTGGCCTCTGGATAGATCTAACAAACACAAGTAGATTTTATGACAAGAAGATGGTAGAAGAAGCTGGATGTAAGTATGTGAAGATGCAGTGCCGAGGCCATGGAGAAACACCATCACCTGAACAAACTAGGTAACAATAAAGCTAGTGAATGAATACCTTTATTTTTATAATATTAAAAATATTGATAGGATTAAAATATAATTTTTCAAAATTATATCATTTCACTACAGAAATTGCAATTTATAAATTTCATAATCTGAACAATTTCTTGTAAACTACTAAGTTACTAACCTCCAATTCTTAAGATTGCTTATCCTTGCAATCAGACATACTAGGGAGATACTTCAGAATTTTCACCTACATTACCAATTAATAAAAACGAGTGTGCTTTAGACCACACAACTGAAGTAAAACTTCTTGAGAGAAAGAAAATGTGTGCTTGTATCCCTCTCTCTCTTGCCCGTACAGTAATATACGAAACGAACTATCTCTCTTTCTATCTTCATTAACTTATATCTCCCTCTCAACTTCCGTTCGCCTCACCCGATCACACTTTTCGTAATGCTCTCGTCACATTCAACAGCTTACTCCCCAAGTCAAGCGTTGTAAAGAAGTTTTAACATATATTAATAATATGAATATGATCACAGTTTGGATATTAAGTAAACATATAATAATTAAGACATAAACATATATATCCTTTGTCAAAATATATTCTGATTTATTTGCAACTTGTACCATAATTGATGTGGTTATAGAAAGTAAATTTCATTGCACTTCTGAATACTTCTGTTTGTTGCTAATGCAACTCTCTTTTTACTGTTATATTTAGCTGAATTTAGTGAGAATCTGGCTTTAATTAGATTGTAACATTACACTACAGAGTCAAAAAGTAATCTATATCCCAAAATAAACTTTCCAGGGAATTCATTGCTGTGGTAACAAAATTTGTAACTCAGAAGCCATTAGAGATGATTGGCGTACACTGTACACATGGCTTCAATAGAACTGGGTTTCTACTTGTGTCATACATGGTGGAGCAACTGGACTGCAGTGTTGATGCAGCTATAATTGAGTTCGCTCGGATGAGGTAAATATGATGTTTCTAGTTTTTTTTCTTTAATAACTTTCTATTCCCCCTGTTTTTTTTTTCTGTTCTGTAATCTCGGATATCACCGTGGTGGTTATGTCGGCCACGAACCGACTAAAAACCACACTCCGTCTCAGGTACCCTAGAAAATAAATCAATGGTACACCATCTTTTCCCCCTGAAATCTCATGATGCAATGCATGTATGCAAAATTTCATGATGATTCTTTGAGTACTTTAAAAGCCTAAGGTACAACAAACTTTCGCATTCATAATTTTAGTTACTTTTTGCTACAGTCTTCAGGGGGTCTATTTCTAGTTTATTTTACATCATCGAAACCCGAAGGCGGCCGCGTTCGGCGTTGCCAGTGGTGAAGAATTTAGTGCGGGCTGACTTTTGTATTACGCATTAACTTGATGTAGCATGTATCAAATAATATTTAATTACTAACTTTCAACAATAATTGTAATGATCTATGCAATTCGACGTGTGTATCATCATCAATCAATATCAACAGCGTTTAATAGTCCACTGCTGGAGACAGGCCTCTCTTTAGAAAGGAGGTTTTGGACTACAATACCACGCTGGCCACACGGGTAGGTTTATGTGAAGCTTAGTTTGTTAAGTGTTTATCAACGAAAAATAAATTGAAACATGTATTTGTATGTAACTAATTTGATAAACCTAAGGAATCTAATAATTTAGAAAGAATAGAAGAAGAATATGTGTCGCGAGTTTCTAAAAAAAATTACATTCCTGTGAAGAACTAACTACTTAAGCGAAAAACTATTGTTCTAGACCTCCTGGTATATACAAGCAAGATTATTTAGAAGAGTTGTGCCGACGGTACAGTGAGGTTGAGTTCACTCCGCCTGCCCCAGAATTACCTGACTGGTGTAATGGTAAGAAAATCATTAACGGTAGTTAAGTAATAAATGTAGACATGTAATTATTCCTTAGTGCTAAAATGGTCAAACAGTTTACTGTTACTTTGGCAGTTATAACTCCATTTCAGACTTGACACTTGACTTCACGGATGGCGTAGTGGTTTAAACGGTCACCTCGCCGCTTCCTACTGCGATGAGTGTTGTGGGTTCGATCCCTACTTTGTGTGATCAACAAATTGTTGTTCTGAGTCTTAGTGTCCTTTGTGTCCGTATCATGTAGTTGTCTTTAGCGGAAGTTGTCTTTTAAAAGAACAAACAAAAAAAAAGATAAATGAGAAATAACAAATTACAATTCTATATGAAGTTACGCTATGATTTAATTTGTCGCCATATTAATAAATAAAATGTTGTTTGCAGAGGAAGAAGAAGAAGTAGATGATGATGATGTACCTGGCAATAGTAGCAATGCACAACATTCGCCACAATCGCATTCTTCAGCATCTGGGTAAAGTATTATATTTTTAAACGATTTTTTTATTAAAAATAATTAATGGATTGCTTCTCATATTGTTAGTTTTCTTGTATAAAGTTATTAAAATTAAAAATATTAAGAAAATGAATAAGTATATATTTAAGTTTAGGAAGTTCTTTAATGAGGTTTAATAAAGCATCCCAACTTTATTGCAGTCGTCAGAAGAAAGGCAAAGGCAGAAAAGAGACTACGCACAAAAAGGATATTTTCATGCCAGAAGTGGAAGGTGTGAAGCCGTTTGACACCCAGCCACGACTCAGTGAGGTTCAGAAGAAAGCGCAGCTATACTGCAGATGGAATACCACAGGGTTCCCAGGCTCACAGCCTGTGTCAATGCAGAGATCAAATTTGTGGAAGTTGCATGAGAAGCCCTATAGAGTTTCATGGAAAGCTGATGGAGTTAGGTATGAACTTCTACATATTTAATATATGATTATATGATATGAAATACAATTAAATTATTCCTGATGAAACTGTTAGAAATTAGGGACTATAATATAAAATATATTTTTTTACTGCTTAAAGTTTTGCAACATTTTCTTTGTTAAAGTATTTTTAAAAATCTAAATGTCATTTCAGGCCATTTTGTTCTAATTAACTTGAACTGTATATGTTTGCGCAGATTTATGATGCTAATAGATGGAGAAGACGAGGTGTATATGCTTGACAGAGACAACTGCGCATTCAAAGTGCCCAACCTCAAGTTCTTTCACAGGAGCGATCTAAGGAAACATCTCACAAATACTTTACTTGATGGTGTAAGTTTAATATGTAAACATTTTTAGGATTCACAATATTATAAAATAATAATTTGATATTGTAACTAGTAAGTAGAACAGGGACATCTTCGAGCACTAGGCTAGTAGATGTCCCTGTTCTATTTACTTCTCAACGTCAGGGCGGGCAGACGCGATAACGGATAGGGCTCGGAGTTAAGGTGTACCCTCTTACCCCATTATCTAACTCCCTCACCCTATCCGTTCTCTTTACCCCAACATACTTTCTGCTTTTGACCCCTCTTAGAACGATTACATTCCGTCATTCACTCAAGGTGAGTTAGAATCAGACAGGGTTACCGGCCATAAAAGTAGATATTGTTACATATTGGGCGCTCACTAAATTAAATTAGGACAAGAGCAGAAAAAATTAGTACTTACTAATATTCTATTTTCAAATTTTTTTACCATTTCTCATGTGTGAAATGCTGTGGAATCAGTCGAACTTCGCTTGTTACGCGGGATTCACCTTATTCTTATCCCGTATCTACCTTTCAGGAAATGGTAATAGATGAATTGGATGGTAAAAAGATACCTCGTTATTTGTGCTACGACATCATATGTTTGGACGGTAATGACGTCAGCAAAATGGCATTTTATCCGACGAGGTTGAACATTATTGAAAAAGAAATTGTAAATCCAAGGTAAGTGGACTTTTATCTGTGCCTATTGTGTTATTCCTGTATTTAAGATAGTTGGGATGGTCCTACTAGCTAAATCAGTCCTCTGCTGTATTGATCTGGATAGATAATAATATTTATGATGTACTCCCGGGCTAATAGTAGGATAGAATTATATGTTTACACTAAAAATTTCATTTGTATAGGCCAGTCGCCGTCAATATTTATGTATATATGTATTAGTCTGTCTGTCTGTTTGTTTAAATGCACTAATATTTGGAACTACCAGACCAATTCGAAAAATAGTCAGTGAATTGGATAAAATTACTTTTTGAAGTATATGTTGCCTCGGGCCGACAGAGAGTCAGTCAATTTTATAAACTAGAAGATAATGCTTTTTTTTTAATTTGCAGACTGAAAGCGATGGAGGCGGGCCTTATAATAAAACACCACGAACCGTTCAGTGTGAGACTGAAACAGTTTTGGGAGTTGCCCATGTCTCGGCAGCTCTTAGGGGAGAAGTTCGCCAAGCAATTATTGCATGAGCCCGATGGTCTTATATTCCAGCCGGCTAAAGAGGTAAACATGAAAAACTTTTTTTTTAATTATATTAATAGTCCTCGTTTTGTAAATAAATAGTATACCGTACTTGTAAGAATGTCTAAATAGCTCGCCATTACATGGTAATCGTAATTAATGTTACCAAAGAGAAAAAAAAATGAGTATGCAGTAAATGTGATAATAAAAATCAATATTTTAATTTTTTTAAATTTCCTGTAGATGTTCTGGTATCTCTCCGATCCCAGGCAGAACGCACACCCGTGTGTCCGTCCTATGACTCTTACTCTTTTACACCAATTTCTCTTACACTTGAGAACGCCCTTGAGAACGAATTATAGTCGTAATGAGAGTAAGCATCAGGCTGAGGTCAGCCATAAAATACCAGTCAAACTCTTTGCACCGACTACAAATTAAATTGTACCTAATTAATGTTAACACAGATGATTCAGATTAAATCTACTCGTTTCGCAGTACTTTTACGTATTTCACATATTATTATGTATAGTGGGTCAGCAATATGCTAATCACTTAACTCCGGGCGTGCGGAGCGAGGCCCTCGGGGGGCACGGGCAAGTGCTTCCGCCCGCCGCATTTTCTTTTTAATATTGTTTATCTTCATCGATAGCCTTAATTTGTCCACTGCTGGACATAGGCCTCTTCTAAGAAAGGAGGTTTTGGCTTACTAAACTATATATAGGGTTTGCGTCAAGTTTTCCTTCTCTTTTGCAGTGTTGTTGTCCTGCGTAGTTTGCTCTCTTAGACGGCTCTGACGACACCCACGGGATGAATAGGGATGGTGACACTTAGTATTCTTAATCCGTCACCACACGTTGTTTATCTTATTTACTTTTAAAACTCATGATGTACTTTAATATTTTCAGCCTTATGTGCCGGGGCCGTGTGAAGATGTTCTGAAATGGAAACCGAGTAATATGAACAGTGTAGATTTTAGATTGAGAATTGTCACTGAAAGTGGTATGGGGTAAGTTCAAAAATATTACGTATATCTTATTTAACCTGGCTCTGACTGTTATCATGAACCAACACCGAATAATAATAACTACCTATTACTAGCTGGTACCAGCGACGAAAATGTTTATTCAATTTGCAGAATTCATGAAAAGTAAATGGTGTAGTACGGTACGCGACTACAGTCCATGAGGCCTCGGGTTCGATTCCAAAATTATAAAGGGTTTTTCTGAGAGGAAAAATGGCCTACGTTATCCCTTATATAGGTAGTAAAATATTATCAAAATTGGTCCTGCCGTTTCGAGAGAAGAGAAGAGCAAAACCCTTTAAAATTTTTGCCCAGTCCGAGAATCGAATCCACTAAGGCAGCGCTTTTCAAATTCCAAGCGAACAAAGTCGCGGGTAACAGTTAGTCTTACATAAATGTCGTCTTGGGTATGAATCGAACCTCTGGTTTCGCAGTCAGGGTCAACCACTGAACCACCTGGCCAATAAATATTAAACGGCAATATCGAAAACGTAATAGTTGGTTCGTTCGCCATCTCTTTTCTTCAGTCGGTATTATTTCAACATAAAAACATTTGTACCAAATTTTGTTAAAAGCAGCTTGTGTTTTACTTCCAGGTTATTACCTACAAAAGTAGGTAAATTATTCGTAGGCAAACCAGAAAAACACTTTGCGACTATGAAAGTGTCGAAGAACATGAAACATCTCGACAATAAGATAATCGAGTGCACATATCAAGACGGCCGATGGCAGTTCATGAGGGAACGTACTGATAAATCCTTCCCCAACGGTTTTGAGACTGCAAGATGTAAGTTTTTATTTAATCGATTTTTATTTCGTGAAAAGGAGCAGGCGATATAAACATACATGTAGTCATTAGATTTTTTTTAGTAATTTATCAAGTCGGTATATGTTCAGGAATTAACGTTATAATAAGTGTGACGTACTCATTCTGTATGTGAAATGATTTGTCATACCTTTTTTTCGTGCGGAAATCCCCTTAATTTAGTGGTTTATATCGGATTCAATCGAACCGACTAATACCGCAAGTTGTCTCAAGTTGAACCAAGAGTATTCTAGGAAAGGAAAAAATTTAGTACCCGAGACGAAACCCGGGCTATCTGCGGCTTACAGTCGCTCGTATGTGGGACCACGGTATCCCCTTCCTGCCCTTAAAGTAATATCGAAAATGTGCGGCTAGATGAAGAACTTTCTACTTCAAAGACGGTGAACCAGCATGTAACCACGGCTATTGCTGGTCTAAACGTCAGACAATTCAAGAATCTATCACCCATCAACAGACATTAGTAGTCCACTGCTGGACATATGCCTCTCCTTGGAAAGGAGGTTTTGGCCAACTATAACCGGTTTGTTTCAAGTTTTCCTTCTTTTTGCACTGCTGGTGTCATGCGCAGTTATTTTAATTCAAAAATATGTTTTGTAACACCTGATACGTGAACGCGTTAATTCCCGTACATATACGTAACTATAATTATATCCTGGAGTGCGGAATTAAACGTTAGTGTTATGCACATATATATTGCAAGTATGTATATTAATAATAATAACTTGACACATCTCACACACAGCCGTCTGATCCCAAACTAGGTGGAGCCTGTACTACGGTAACCAGACTGTATGTATTTAGGAAAAAAAATAATATATGGTGTCTTAGTAAGAGTGCACTTTTTAAATTTAGAATCTTTTTTTTTTCGTGCAAGTGGCAAGTCTGAAATTTGACAGCTGTCACCTATGTTTATTCCGATTATTAAAAAAAGAACGCGAACAACGCGTAATTATTGTGAAAATTCATTACAAAAATGGGGTAAGTCACGCTGTAACGTGGTTAAAAAACTTGAAGAAACTGGGTCGATTATGGATATTAAGAATCCTTTGCGTCAACGTGCCGGTCGGTCTCTTGAAAACATTGTTTTTGTAAACGAGACTGTCGCCAAAAATCCAAAAACATCAATTCGACATCGTTCCCAACAACTTCAAATTTCACGTAGCACTTCGCAGCGAATTTTGACAAAAGACCTCCATCTTCATGCCTATAAGATTCAGCTAACTCAGGAGCTCAAACCACCAGACCATGGAAAGCGGGGGCAATTCATTTAGCCTTTTATAGAGCAAAGTGAAGTCGATGCCAATTTTTGGAAAAAAGTCATCTTCTCCAATGAACCGCATTCCCATCTAAATGGCTAAACACACGAAATTGACGAATTTGGGGCTCAGAAAATCCTCATGCCATCCATGAGAAACAAATGCACCCACAACGAGCAACTGTGTGGTGCGGATTTTGGTCAGGCGGTGTGATTGGACCTTACTTTTTTAAAGATGAGGCCAAAATTGCTGTTTGTCTTGTGAAATCTCAGGTTTATGCGAATAAACCAGAAACAATTCCTGAGCTCAATCCAACGCGTCATCGGTGAGATACGGCCACATCTCTGTGTAAAAGTCATGTAAAATTTCATGAAAAATGAGCCGTGGGGGGCATTAGCCGGGTATTTCCATACCTAATCGGAACATGTCTTCTTTACAATCCAATAAAAATATCACAACTCATAAAATACGTGTTTTTATTTTAAACTGAAAAAGTGCACTCTTACTAAGACACCCTATACATACAGATTGATAAATTACATCCACACACAGAACAATGATCATGTTCATCACACAATTGTTTGTCCTGGATGGAAATCGTACTCATGACCTCTGGTTCAGCAGTCTGGGTCAATATAAAAGAGTCAGTCAGATATAAAATAAAATGTGTTTTCAGCTGTTTGTCAGAGTATACAGGAGCCAGTCACAAAAGAGATCCTATTGGACTTCATAGACAATCACCGGTTCCACGACGACTCTGACGTGGCGCCTCCACCGAAGCGCATGCGCCGATAGCAACGTGACGTCACTGTACATAGTATTATGAATTATGGATTTGTGGAGAAATGTGTAATTGTCGATATTGCTTGTGAGTTTTTCTGTTTCTCTGGCCCCCTTAATTCCACATCATGTGTGATATAGCTGAAAGTAGTAGCATTATTTGTAGTCAACATTCAACAGCAACACAGTCAACAGCAACACGTAATCGTCAATCGTAATCATCAAACAGTGATAATTTTATTAATGAGAAATAATAATAAATCCAGTCAAAATATATGATATTGATACCACTATTAATTAAATACTTCATCACATCATCACCAACAGCCTTTAATAGTCCACTGCTGGACATAGGCCTTTCCTTAGAAAGGAGGTTTAAGCCTACTATACCACGCTGGCTAGACGGGTTGGTATAGGGTTTGTGTCAAGTTTTCCTTCTCCTGTATTGCTGTTGTCCTACGTAGTGTGCTCCCTTAGTTAGGATGAATAGGGGTGGTGACACTCTGTATTAGTAATCCGTCACCACAGCGTGGTATAGTAGGACGAATTAAATACTTAGTTCATAAAATATTTTGTGTTATCTATTCGCTTCAAAATGTGTTCGCAGCAGCGAGCTTCTGAAACGTGATTATAGTATTAAGTGTAATGTAAACCACTAGTAAGTGAAATAAAGTTTTTCTAATATCTATCTATTATTAATATAGACGATTTTGGCACTATGAAGTAATATGTATAATTAGACATAACCAGTCCCTTAACACATAAATTACATAAACTGAAGAAGGTCTTCCTGAAGAAGAGTTTTTATATTGGTTTCTTAGGTAGGTCTCTATTTTACATTTTAGGTATCTCACACACATCCTGATCTGATCCTAACCTTTATGTATTTAGAACCTGTACTATGGTAACTAACTGCTCATAAACATACTCATGTATTATATATACTCGTTGTCTCTTCCTTTTCTCATTTGCTCTCCCTCTTCTTTTCTAAAGAAGTACTAATTTGACTCTACAATTAGGCAACCATCGTACACCCCCTTCAACTCACTCTTAACCCACTAACAAAGGTACCTACAGCCCACTGTAAGCAACCATTGATTTCTGTTTATGTGCGTAGGACATTTAGGCCTTATTAATTCACATTTCACAAAGCCTCATATGCTGTTAATTATATTTAATTACATTAAGTGTATTTAAAGTCAAGAACGTGTTTTATTACTCTGCACTATTATAGCTTTACTCTGAAGTACTCCCCTATCTGTAAGTAACCAACTACAAACTGAAATACGGTTGTTTGGGATTTCGAAGAGATCATCTTCATCATTAACGACAGCTTTTAATAGTCCACTACTGGACACAAGCTAATCCTTAAAAAAGAGGTTTTAGCCTACTATACCCAGCTGGTCAGATGGGTTGGTAGAGGGTTTGTTTAAAATTTGCCTTCTCTTTGTAGTGCTTTGTCCTGCGTAATTTGCTCCCTTTGTCGGCTCTTACGACACTCGCACACAGTGAATCGCGTAGGACAACCTAGCTGGACAAAACTGTTTCATACCATATAATTTTTTTAACTGATATTATACAGAATTTTATTAAAATGGTTTGTAAGTGCATCAATACTCAAAATACTTGAAAGAACTAAAAACCGTTTTTTTTTGTATGTAGTAAAGTATATTTTCAATATAAAAATAATTAATTAAATAATTTATTTACTACACATGTCAAGAATTTTGTATAACTGAACATAAAAACTGTACAAAATCTTATATACTTAACTAAACGTTAATTCATCTAAGGATTCATTAGAAGAAGAATCGTCAATCAAGGCCGTCTGACGGGGTCACTGAAGGCCGGGACTATTAATTTTAAAACTTCGTATGGCAATTTGCTGATATTTTTATAGGTGTTTCTGAAAAAAATAATTACAGGATCAGATTTTTCGTTTCTATACACGCGAATGTTTTCTCGAATGAAGTTCTGAAACAAACAAAAAAACTATTGCATATTGTTAGGGATTTAAATTATTCTTTATTTATGTATTGAAATATTATTCGGTATTTTATTTATAAATTTATAGTTATATGATGAAAGATGATTGAAGCTACAACATATAAAAAATATCGGTATACGCGGCTACAAAAAGTTAAAAATATAAAATGTTGCTTAAAAATTACACATTTTTTGAAACCAAATTTCTAATGTATTCATTGAATATTAAAATGAAAATGCATACCATCAAGAGACATATCCATCACAAAAAATATCACAGTAGTCATTTTTAACATTAGATGTTTGCACAAGTGCAGCAAAAATGTAACTGATTATGATCTGGAGGTCCAGGTACAGAAGTCATCCACCTTACGCAGTAGTTCTTGGCACTGCTTCGGGTTACGTGTGAGGATAGCAAGGTCGTCTGCGAATGCTAAGATGGATTGCGTAAATTTTTTATTTACCTTAACCCGGTAGCCCCAACTCTTGCAATGTTGTCTATCAATATATTTAAACTGTATAAAGGTGATAAGCAGCAACCTTGGAACAACCCTACTTTTGTATTCAAAGGGTTTTACATGTCCCTCTTTTGCTGTAATTACAAATTTTAGTTTACTTTAGTATGATGCAATTATTTCACAAACTATTGGCAAAAAGTGATACCACATCACGGCAAATAACATAAGCTCGTGTCGTATTAAGCCAAAGGTCTTTCATTTATCTTAGCATCTTTGAAACGTTCCGAAGTAATGAGTTATGTTCCAGACATCATCAGGTTTGGTATGAAGCCAATTATTATTATTAGGTAGACAGAAACTCTATTATTTTTAATTGAAGACAGGAGATTTTTTTTTCAAAATTGTATTGGCAAGGGCTATCGGTTTAGTGTCTCTGGGATCTATTACTTTTCTTAGGAATGAGGACAAAATTAGCTTTTCCAAAGGCTGTTGGTATTTCTTTGCTGGACCAGATCTTGAAGAATATACAGTTTACAGATTTCCTTCGTCTCATTGAAGTGCTGCACAATATCAACAAATAAACTTATATTACTTTTGAATTCCACTAAATTTAAATGTGCCTGACTATACCAAAACCAGAGATTTCTAAATATTTTCTGATACCTGCCATACCAATGAATACCGTACTCAAATATATACTGTAATTTTTAGACTGTGGCACAGTGAAACTGGCAAGTTAGTAAATTAGAACTTTATATTTTTATAAACTTAACTTAAAATAACAGTAATATAAAAATGTAATGTACAGACATTACTTACCATTTTTCAATCAACAATTTTCATTTCTAAGCGGGGAAATTTCACGGCACAAAATGACGTCTATCCAACCTCAAACAAGGCTCAGCGAGTTCTGACAAGCGAACTTCGCCGCCGTAAGCAAGCGCAAAAAATATATTTTTGTTTTCTTTTTTATAAGTATAAATATATGAAAATGTGTCTGCAAATCCCTAAAAAAATAGGCTCTATTTTTTAGTTAGTATGAAATCGTGAGTTAGTGCTACGTTTGTGTTTTTTTTTTATCCAGCCAAATTCCATAAATCATGTTTCTATATCTGCGGTTCTTTAGATTATGTTTAATTTTTATAAAATATTTACTTTCATGTAAAAATGCATTAGTGTATTTATTTCTCTTTAAAAAAGTGCAAAATCGCTGCAACCTTCCCTTAAAACTCTCAAGTAATATCGACAATAAATGTATGAATCGCTCGTTTGTGTTTTTATCGAGATCTGTATAAGTCGTTACTTTTAGTAATCCTAAGATCTTAATAAATTAAGACCTAATAAAGACTATATTATATACCCGTTTTATTGAACACTACTTTTATTTCATAAAAATCACGTTTGCCTTTCAAAGCTACTTATTCACAAAGCTTTCGAGATTCTTATGCAGAACTTAAGTCCGGCCGCCTTACATCTACATACGTAAGGGACAATCTGAACTTCAATGTTTAGTTGTCAGAAATGGCCGCGGCCCAGACTCCGTCGCTAAGTAACAGAAAACAGGGCACAACTTAGAAATAGGAGGGATCCGAGAAAAGCAATTTTTTTTATTGGAAAGGGGGGCAGACGAGCAGACTTGTCACCTGATAGAAAGCGACTACCGCCGATCATGAATGCCTGCAACTCAGGAGTCACAAGCGCGTTGCCTGCCTTTGTGGAAGGAGTACGCTCTTCTCTTGAAGGTTACGATGACTTGTTCCACAGGTTGGTTGTAAGAGGAAAACAGTTTCTTGTCAAACGATGGCGGTAAGCTGTCTTTTTTTTTTTTACAAAAACAACAATTCATTGTTCAAAGGCGGACTTAATGCCACAGGCATTTTCTCCCAGTCTACCCTTGGGTGGTGGGAAAATGTCTGAGTAGGGGCACTAGAAATTAAGTTTTATATGTAACGAGATAATAATAATTAAGGACAGAACCAGTGTGACAAATGAACATACATACTGAAATACACATACATATATATATACTTGCTGAGTTACATACATACATATAATACAGTATATAAAACTTCAGGGATCTGCTAGTGTCGAGAATTCGAGCTCGGACTTTCGTCTTAAATGAGAGGCACTGGGTCTATCCTGATTTCCAAGGCAGAGCGTTCCAGAGGAGGACAGATTGGATTAGGAACGAAGAGTGGACACATGAGTGGGGCATAACAGAAGTGGATTGTTTGAGGAACGGAGGGCTCTGTTGTGATTGGAACATAGAAATTGAAATGAGGATGTCAGGTAGGAAGAGGAAATAGGTAGGTAAGTTGAGTATGTAATAGAGGGTGGTGAGGGCGTGCAGTGACGGCGCTATGTTATGTCCCTTATTAGTCCGAACAATTCCTCGGAGCACTCTCCATGATATATACGATATAGAATGCAAAGCGAAGCTACATCTTTACGTAACGCCAAGTGATCGAGCCGGTCGACCGAGTCGCTCTTTGGATACGGGCCAGAGGGAGAAGCTAGTACTGCGGTGCCCCTGTATAGAGATAAGTACATAGTCTATATGCGGCCGGACTT